TCAATTATTCACAGGTACCAAATGATGATGCGATGGGTACTACAAGAAGTTGAAACGAGATTATAGACAAGTCTTATAATATGTAATAGTTAAATTTTTGAACATTTTCTATTAGTCTATTTGGTTTGTAATCATTATTTTGTATTATTTTTGAAAGTTGCTTATTTATTTAATGTTTTGGCAATGTTTTATTTTTTATTTTTAAATAACAAAATTTTAATATTTTAGGAAGCGGGTACCCGGAACCGGAACCGGTTTCCGGCGGTTCCGGTTCCGGTTCCAAAAATTCAAAAACCGCTCTAACCGGTTCCGGTTCCGGTTCCAATATTTCAAGAACCGGCGGTTCCGGTTCCGGTTCCGGTTCCTATCAAAAAAGGCGGGTACCCGCCTATGCTCACCCCTATGAAGGATCATGTGACAAAGATGGTTAAGTGAGAAGCGTAAGGATGAATTTGAATCCTTATCACATTTAATCTCAAACTCACCCATAAATCGTGTTTGATACGAGGATTAATCTTGTGCACTTCATCTCGATACATCTCATCCTAATGTGCATCCAAAGATGTATATCTCTTCTTAGGCTTGACCATACTCTCCTCCTCATGGAACTCAACTCTACCCTGTCCACAAAATAGTAGTATTGAAAGTTCGGAGTGAAATTGAAATTATCCAAATTCTTAAGGGTGTATTTTGCAACTCAACCAAAGACGAACCTTACCTTTGTGGGTTATTTAACCCCAACCGGATGATGAAGTCATGAAAGAATCAAAGAACCGAAGAAAATAGGGCCGAGGCTGTCATCGATCACCGGAGAGTTGCGATTTTCAGAGGGCCTGAAACGAGATTATCTTCCACCATCACCGTCTTCTAAATCGTTATGTGATCGATGCACCGTGGTTTTCATTTTCTTCGTCGATTCGATCAATCAAGTAGGAAGAACAGAACGATTCGATTTGGAAGTATCAAATTTGAGAATTACTAGGATTCTTTTGAGTTCATTCTTTCAATTGAACTCTTTTTTTGGTATTTCCCTTTCTCCATGCAGAATTATACTATTTTCTTTGAAATATTTGATGATTCGTGACTTATTAATTATGATTTCAGCACCTGGAATGTGAAAATCACAAGAAAGTTTTGAAAGTCTTCGTTTTGAGATCTTTATTGTTTTTGTTTACTTCAGTTTCAATTATGGTTTTCCTCTTAGATTTCTAAGATTGCGATCTCGACGTGATATGTGTAGCGTAATATGTTAAATCGTCTTGCCGACTAATTGTCTTTATAGCCCTAATTTGGGTAAATAGTTTTCCTTTCAATCGGATCTTTCCAGTAATTCATTCATTAATTCACTCACTATTAACTGTTTTTCATCATTCGCCTGGATACTTGTAGTTGTATGTGAAAAGTATTGCAAATTTGAATGTGTTTATTATACGTGTTTCCGGTGATGTGATCAAGATTGTTATTGGTGTTTTTGGGAATTTTTTATGCCTGAATGCGTCGCTAATCAAAGTCACAGGTCTAGTGTTTTGGTAGGATCATTTTGAAGTTAAGAAATCAGCAGGCACAATGGGAAGATATGATTTGGACGTAAGCAACTTTTGAGAGTTCATCTTCGTTTTTCTTGTCTTCATCTTTTTAGATCTTCATTTTTATTTCAGTTGATCATTGATTACTCTCTTGTAGGAATACGAAGAGTATGAAGATGAAGGTGAATACCAAGAAGAGGATGTTGGTGAAGAGGAAGAGGATCACCCGCCTACAAAGGAAGAGTTAGAATACCTTCACTTGAGGCAAAAGTTAAAGGAATCTATTAGAAAGAAGATGAAGAAGGATTTAAGTTCTGGGCTCACAAATTCAAAGGAGAAAAAGAGTAAAATGCCTTATGATAAGTGAGTAACATCCTTCATCCTTGTTTTTACTTTCTAGACAACATTTACTTTCTTATTTATCACTTTTCTGATTTTAAAACTGCACATCACTGGAATCTTCTCGTTGATGATATTGATCTGCTTACCTTTTGAGGTTTATTTCACAAATGATATACCATTTGTAGTGATTTCAGTAGTATAAAATCAATGGGCTAGATTTTTATCAATCTGCTTTAGGATAATACATATGGTAATAGATAGTAAAACCCGCATAAAGTTCATGGTCTTTATGAAGTAATGGCGGGTGAATTAGTAGAATTTGGCAACTCTTTGTGAAATAACTCCGATGAGAAGAAAAAACATATCTTTCCTGCTAAGGAATCCTTTATTCCTACGAAATACCATACCCGGAAATTCCCTCTGCCCCTACCATACTCCAGCTTGGTGGTTTCCACCGCCTGTCCAAAGGAACTTACCTGACAAGGAATTTCGCTACCTTAGGACCGTTATAACTGTATTTACTTTTTTAATCGTTTATGGAGCATCTAATGGCTTCTTTGCTATTATGTTTATTTTTACATGGCTGTGATCTTTTTCTTTGATGATCCTCGATATCTGGGTCAGTTGGCATGCACCTTGACTAATCCCATGGAACCGTGAAGTTAACAGATGGGGAACCTATAGTGGCCCTAAGGAGACTTGAACTAGTGACTACTTACCAATGGGGAGCAAACCTGAGGTCTTACCATTGAGCTACCCCAAAGGGTTCATATCTATGATCTTTTTTTGGTGTGAAATCAAAATGAATTTGGCAGAATTTTTATGTCTTCAGACATATAATAACTGGAATTGGGTATTGCGTAGTTACATTTTTTTTCCAATTTATTAATTTTTGGTGCACGTAATTTATGACCTCTTGACTTTTATCCCCCTTTACATTAAACCATACATGGTTGTCTGTAAGTCTGTAACAAGGCGTCCATGTCATTTTTATTACTATGCTCACATATCCAGCTAACATCATCCACTCCACCACCACCGCACCTGAATGTTTTCTTCTTGTCTTTGCTGACCCTCATCAACAAAGTCCAATTTTTTTTTTATTTTTCCCAAACTGTTGTCTGTGTTGATTTTACTTTACTTCTTTCTAATGGAGAACACCTTCCCATCCTCAGAATTTTATAAATCTCAAATGAAATCTGAGACACTTGAAGACTGGATTTGTTTCTTTTGATGTATTTATGAAGGAAAATCTATTTATATATATAGGTACACATGCCAATAGACAAGGATAGAAAAATCTAATCTGTTACAAGGATAAGAAGCTGGTCACAGGTTGTTCAAGTGATGAGTGGAGAGGAAGTTGGCTACATTGGCAGATGCTGTGGATTTGTAGGCAATGGGAGAAGTTGAATGAGAAGGGAATGGAAACATATGATGGTGCTAGAGTGAGATCAGATGAAGGAGAAGGTTAAGACAGTTGATAGCTATAGACCAGATAACAGGATGATGGTGCCTGAGACATATGAAGAAAAAAGGGATGCTGAGGTTACTGAGGTTCGAAACCCCAGCCACAAAATGAAACGGCGAAACACATATTTTGATGCAAATCCTGGTTGTCATGATAAATTTTAAAAGCTTATTATTAGGATTTTGTAAATCTTTTACGATCATTTACACATGACTGAAAACACAAATACTTGCCACACACGTGTTGTATGTTTTCATTTTCTCTGAAGGCGTGTAAACGGAGAACAAAAATATAAGCATAAACACTATATATTTTTTGCTTGACTCATTTAAGCCTGTAATTGTTTTGCAGGTGGTTGGATTTAGATTTGTTGACTTGTTGTCTGCTGACTTCATTTTTAATTGTTGACTTTGGTTTTGAGTTGCTTTCCATGAGTCTGCGTATAAGATGGTATTGCTAAGATCTCCATATACATCTGCACGTCTGTCTATATGTATCTGACCTCTTTAATCTGCAGTAATTTAAAGTATTGTCTAAGGTTAAGCTGCTATAATCTCTGGTTCTTGTTCTGCCACATCTGAATGGCCAGAAATCATCCCTAGTAAAGCTAATTTTCGGCATCATGACTATTCGTTCATCCAACTGTCTTTCACTTCAATTATTTATGTTGTGTTTCTGATTAGGATACGAGTTCTCTCGAGGTGCATTCAAAATTTATCGTAGACAATAAATTATCACATCCCCATAAGAATTGTCACGATTTTAAATGTGAATAACAATATTTTATGCTCTCTTTGACATTCAATCATGTTATTGTATTGCAGCTTTGGATCCTTCTTTGGGCCTTCAAAACCAGTTATTGCTCAAAGAGTAATTCAAGAAAGCAAGTCACTTTTAGAGAATCCACATTTGGCGGCAAGGGTTTCAAAAGCTAAAAATGTTGTATGTGTTCGAATTTTTCTTCCTGTCCTTTTTCCATATTTTAATCATGAAATGTGCATGAACCTGACTTTATCTGGACTTTGTAATGTTTCCTGAACAGGTGTGATGCTTACTTTTATGCTCCTTGTGGAGCACATAATTGGGCAGAACATTTTGAGAACCACTAGTCTTTCTTGAGAATTACAAGTATAATACTTAAGTATGAAATATCAATCATTCCATACAAGAGTTAATTTCCATAAAAACAGTGGAACTTCTGTCCAAGTGCAAGTCCCTGAACTTTTTCCTGTTTGTGCTCCCTACCCACAAAAAAAGAAAAAAAGGATGACCGATTAATGTCTTGTGCTGAAAATAATTCTAATTTTGAATTAGTATAGTATTGATTTCTAGTTGGAAAATACAAGTGCAAAATTGGAGGGCCATTTTTTTATTTTTGAATTAATATTGGTTCTAGTTGGAAACTACAGGTTTAATATTGTAGGGGTCAAATTGAATGTTTTGTATATTGAGGGTGACTATTTTTATTATTACTACATTTACATGTGAATCACTTCTTGTACAATGAAGATGGTATAATAATGCATGTTTTGTTACAATGGGAGATGGATTAAATACATCTCCATTGGTATCCAAGCCCCAGAAACTTGAATACATCGGGAGATGGATTGAATACATATCTACTTCAGAATGATTTTTTATGTTCTTGACTGTCTTCTGCAGCAAAACAAGGGTGGCGCTTCTACTCCAGTGGTATCCAAGCCCCAGAAACTTGAGCAGCATCGAGAAGTGATAAATTTGGTAAGATTTGGTACTATCTGTTCGCTTTTTCTTATCCTTTGATTTTCTGAATTATTTCTTTCTTATTTTTAGGCAAAGCCAAAAGCAAAAATCCAGATGCTTAGGGATACAAGAGATTACTCATTTTTATTATCTGAAGCCGATCTTCCAGCTCCTACAAAGAATCCTCCTAAAAGTTTGCCTGCTACTAAACCTGGTATGTTGCTCATCCTGTTGTACCTGGCTGTTAATATTGTTCATGGAGAAGTCAGTTTTATTTGAATAATTATACAGAGCTTTTTTTATGCTGAAGAGGTGCATCCATCTCAAAGAAAACCAATTAGCAATATTGGCAGAGAAGTCATCAATGGGGGTGAGGACAGGAAAATGTTGCCTAAAGTTAGCCAGATGCGAGTCAAAGCAGGTCCGTCAGGTCAGAAACCCAGCACTGCTTCCAAGTTGAATTCTACATCACTGGAGCCTAGGAAACAACTTGGTAGAAATGATGGGAGTGGTTCCGCCCGGCCTTCCGCGCCAAAAACATTACCATTAAAGGCACCGATGGTTAGGAAAGAGAAGGTGATTTCTGCATCAGTTGCTAAAGGTTCCATGCCCAGTTTGCACAAGCCACTTCACTCTAAGCCGGCACCATCTGTTCATAAAAAACCTGTGGCACAGAAAAGGGATGATAGAGAATCTAGCAAGGGAAACGTCATAGCTAAGAAGCCTGTCTTATCCTCTAAGCCTCAGGTACTTCTCTTTTTGGAACAGGTTAATTCCTTTGTGGGGTGTTTCTTTTTGTACTTCAAATCAAGTGAAATATTGTGTCGTAAAATGTCTTCTGATTTGGTTGTAAATCTGACAGATAAAGCAACAACCAGCAAAGCTTCCACCTAGTGCACAGCAGAAGGAGCGTCTAAAGAAAAGACCAGTGCGGTCATATTCAGATGATGAACATGATGATAGAGCCATTAGTATGATTAGAAGCATGTTTAGGTAGGGGTTAGCTCTATTTGTCCTCTTTCTTGCATTTAAAGTTCATCTGATAACTGTGAGGTAAAAATCAGCCTTGAAATACTGTTTTCTTTTAGTTCATTACATTTGAGTTTCAAAAGTCAAAACACAGGCCTTTTCAAAGTCAATTTGATGAGACATATTTAGCATACTATTACTTTCATGCTGGTTCGTATTTAGTTCATTATGGTTATTTATTATTTCATCTTTGGAAAGCAGTCTTCAAAAAATCAAGCATGAGACCATATGTATATGTGATCATATTTTTTTAAAACTAAGCATGAACCTGGTTACAATTTATCACCCTCCTGACTAATTTAATTTTTTGCTTCAAGACATGTTTGATAACAAAATTGGTATCCTATTTTGCAGATATAATCCCAGCAGATATCGTGGTGTTAATGATGATGATGATAGCGACATGGAGGCTGGATTTGATGACATTATGATGGAGGAGAAACGCAGGTCAGTTTCGTTGCAGAAGTCTTTGGGTAATTTGGATTTAATTCTCGTGGTGATCTTGTTGTATGGATCCATGTTTTTACACCCATGTGTGGTTCTTGCCTACATGGGCCTTATAAGTCTGATTAATTTTTATTTGGTGCATGCCTAAGCTTCTATATCTATTTGAGCTCATTTTATCTGCTAACAAAATGGCTGTATCCCCACTGTCCCACATTTATCCTCATATAGCATGTACACATAGCCATGAATGAAATTCTTTATATATATGTGTGTGTGTGTGTGTTGACACCCAATCATCTGTTTTTATTATCATGCAACTGCTGCTATTGTTAATTTCCATTACAATTACGTGAGGAAAAATTTGAAGGGGTTTGACGATTCTTCAAAATGGAACAACAGGGCACTTGCGTAGTAACCATCAATTTGACGTTGATGTTTGTTTAAATCTCAAAAAACATTTTATATCCTAAAACTCGAGTAATTTCCAAATCACATGTGGACATTAGTTTTTCTTTTAGGTCTTTTGATCTCCTAAACATCTTGTTTGGTTAAACGCCGCTACCCCAATCCACTTCCAAAGTTGACAAAACTCATTAACATCATAAAGTCAAATTTGGACTACTTTGAGCCCATACAAGTCACTCTTAAGACAATCTGTGAGCAGGATCATTTTGGGGTTGTTGCCTCATTATATGGGGTCCTTTCAAGCCTTGTGCTGTCCTACATATAGATATTAGCCTGTGCTTAGGGAAAAGGTGTTGATCAAGCATGGCATATAACTAACATAATATATATGCCTATGACCTCCTGGTAATGTGTCCCGAGATTTGGCTCTACTGAATAAGACTATGGGCCTGTTTGTTAACAGCTTAATGTGCTTAATGGGACTTGCAGCTTATTCGGTCAGCTATACATGACTGTTTGGTAGTGGCTTAATGATATAGGAAGTGACTTATTTGGTAAGCTTCTAGGGGGGAGCTTGATGGAGAAAGCCGAGTTTTTAAAGCCTGTCACTCCCAGTTAAAAAACATGCCACTTCCATCTATGAGAAAACCCTCCCAAACAAAAACCATGCCAACCCATCTAGACAGATTAATCCACAAAGCCAATTTTATCCATATAGAACTTAATGGAAAACCAACCAAAACAGCCCCATAGACAGTTCAAATCAGTTACTTTGTATGTTCATTTTATAATTTGGCCATCTTTCCTTCCAACATTCACTGGATCATGATTTCCACATAAATTTATCTGTTTGCTTGCTTCCATCTGAAAAGCTGTCATGATGGGTGTTGCACTTTGTTTGCAATGCAATGTCTTCTAACAAACTGTATGAAATTTAGGTGGTACTTCAGTCCTTGTGTGATTAAACTGAATTAGAGTACATTTGATACTGAATGACAATTGTGATTCAGTGCAAGAATTGCTGCCAAAGAAGATGAAGAAGAGCTTCGGAAGATTGAAGAAGAAGAAAGGAGGGAACGGATGAGAAAAGCAGCAAAGAAACGAAAGCTCAACCAACGATAAAGGAGCAAGAACAACTGATGATTCCCGCTGAAGTTGGGATGTTTGTGATAGGTTACATAGGTATGCATCCGAAGATTTATAGCTGAAAGTCTAGAATTAAAATTTTTGACTTCTTCAAAGAGTCGGAATAAGTATTAGCATAAAATGTAGAGCAGCTTCATTCTCAAAGGTGTTTTCTGTTGATTGTTAGTTATCTTGATATATATATACCAACTTCTATTTTCCGCTTGGTCTTCATTTTTGTACTTGTGAGGCTGTTAGCTCGAACCACAGCAACGAATTGAAACAGGTTTGGTTTTGGTTGATTTGCAAAATCTTCAAAATGTGTGGTTCAGTTTGGTTTGTGAGTTCTAATACCGAATCAAACCAAATAGAACGGAATATCACTACAAACAAAAGAGGCTTCGCAGATGGACTTTTCCGTTGATGATTGAAAATCCGCCCGGTAATCACAATTACTGGCCATGCTTTCCCCGTAATGGCTTTTTCTAGCGGATTACTGTCGGTGAAACCAGTGAAAAGCGGGATAAAAGAACACCAAGATTTAGGTGGAAAATCTGAAACCACCTGTGAAGAAGAAGTCGAGAGTCCACTAAATAATTGTTCTTTGGTGCAACGTGCAAGATTGAGAGAACAGGAGGTTTGGGTGTGTTTATGTGTGTGTTTGGTGTGAAAATGGAGAATACCAAGTTACAGTTATTGACAATAAATCCCCTAAAATGGGATTAAGATTTAAGACCCCTTTAATTTATCGTGATAAGCGATTACGAAGGCGCACAGGTTATGATATATTTGTAAAAAAAAATTACTTTGTAGGTGCTATACACTTGACAGGAATGATTGAAGATTATTTGATTACAAATACATACATTTCAAAGAAACATTAACTATATTCACACACATATGATATATTACGTAGCAGGTAGCTAGCTAGGGATGAGCACCACAAATCCTTCGTATTACACCTTCTTCACCCATCAATGGCCTGATATCCCCCATCTTCACCATCGCTGCTGCAAAATCCGACTTAAACTTGGAAGGATTGTTACTATATTCAGACACAATGCTGTCTGTGCATCCACCACTAAAAAGCACTTGATCTGATTCCAGAAGACCCTTCTTTTGAATCAAGTTCTTGAAGTAGTTGTAGTCAAACGAATTGGGTGTCACCAAATCTAGCGGAGCTAGATTTCCATTCCTGTCGTTTATTGGGCAGCCACGTCTGCGGGTACTAGCAAAACCAGCATCGATATCTGATCCGTTGCTGTATATCCGGTCACGAAACAAGAAACATTGAGCTTGTCCAATAGTATGAGCTCCTGCATTCATTCAAGATCGATATTAGTAACCATTCCATTATAAAAAAAAACTTGTATCTATATGAATTTTGATACGAAGATTAAATTGATGGATAAGTACCTGACAATGCAACCATGTCCCTGGCACTAAGTCCATTATCCTCGAACGTTTTAATAAGCGAATCAAGGGAAGCTTTAAAACTAGGAAGACTGGTTTCTGCAAGAGCAAGGCTAGCAGTGGTTGAATCTCTCCTTCCAAGCTTCACAGACCACGACGGACCACCCACCATTTCTGATGCATCACGTGCAGCCACGGTGAGTATATCTGCACAAGAAACGACACCAGGACATAGTTTCTCAACCTCAGACTTGGCAGCCTCTATGACTTCATAACCTCGTACAGAACCCTTATTAGGCAACGCATTCCTTTCGCTCACGATCGAAGGAGCATCTTCTAGCAAGATTGACGCGTCACAACCTTGCACGAAGCAATCATGGAAGTGGAGACGAAGGAGGGAAGCTGCCATGCGACGTTCACGAGAGATTGCTGTCCGAATGGAGGTCCTGATGGTACGTAATGCATTGGGACATGTATCATCATAGAATGTACAGGACAACTGTGCCACACATGGTGTATAATTGTTAGTAACTGTGAGAAGGATGAAGAAGAAGATAGCTGCAAAACGATTTCCGTAAGCCATTAATTGGTAGTGTCGTTTGAATTGTGTGAATGGAACTAAAGTTGGTGGGAATCTAAGATGGATTGTAAATAAAGAAATGAAGCATATAGATTTATAATGTTTAGTTAAACCGCGTAAATTGTGTTTGTTTGCTAAGCGATAGATTTAATGGTCTCACTTGTTCGCCTACCTGCTGTAGATGCATCGAAATTTAGCATCATCCTTAAAAACACAATCACTAATGTTTTTTAATGATATATATATATATATATGTATATATATATATATATATAGGTTGGATGTAGTTTGCTTTCTAGTTTAAAACGATGGACTCAGTCGTAATCACCTTTTTGTGGGTCATAATCATATATGAATAAAAAACTAAGGTCAAAGTGAATGCTTTTCACATTTTCATTCCTAGAAAAAACAAGACATGTAGCTTGCAAATCGCCACCTTTTAGAATTCGCCAAAGTATTGCTTCCAATGAGTCTGTCTTTGGATTTTGCGAGTAGCGATATTCATTACACCAAAGGGTTCGGGTTTCTCTGGTTGAATACGTATCCCTGCATGTAAAAGAAATTACACGTAGATGAGACTACCCACCAATTTTCGATACACCTTAGCTTCGACTCCAAACGATTCCCTTTCATTAGTTAATGAGCACACATTTTGACATTTAGCTTTAAATTGATTGGCTTGTAACCAACATTTCAAGATTCTTTTCATATATAGGACCATGCAAGAAGGTTTACAATTTACGAGAATGTGAAAATTCGAACAAATTTGGTGCTACAATTTCATTAGATCAACTATATAAATAAAAAAAATTCAAAAATTAAATTAAAAAGGGTAAATATGTCTTTCAGTTTTAATTCTTATCTTTAACTACTAAACAATCCCAATTTGGAGTTTGATTTGATTTTCTAAATGGATTATGTTTACAACTTAATTTAATCACATGTTTTACATAGAAATCGAATATCTTCAAATTACGGATATATGGAAGTCGATAATATTCTAAACAATATGGTATTCTAAGCTTGCATCCATGTCAAATTTTTTTAGTTGTTAATTTGAGTTTCTATATTTTAATTAAAAATTAAGGGGATAAAAAGTTTTTTAATTATGAATAAAAAGTTAAATAAGATAGACATGTGATTCAAGTTTGAAATTAATTCAGTTTTTGCCCTTAATCACTTTGTAATTAACTGTTTTATGTTTTAATCATTGATTAGTTTTTTTAATCTAATCAATGGTCAGGATATATGTATATATGTGTGTGTGTGTATGTAGAGAGAGAGAGAGAGAGAGAGATAAAAGGAGGCTCAGACGAAAGACCAGTAACAAAAAAAACACGAAAATAGCCAAATCATGTACAAAATCACATATATTTTACACTAAAAGTAAACACAAGTGTATGCAGAAGACGTGGCCTGCAACCTCATGTTATGGCCAAAGTTGTGAAAAATGTGATTTTAGTGTAAAATTGTATGTGATTCAACCGTTTTTTCTTATTATCTTATTTTGTTATTATTCTCATATTAACATTACATACACACTCTCTCTCTCTCTTTATATATATATATTTTGGTAATCATTTGCAAATCATATCAACTCTTTTTATATTATTATTTAATATATTTAGTTATTAAAAAAATAAATATAAAAACTCTAAAATTATTTATGTCAGATGAGTTAATCGAGTTAAATTATTTTAATAAAATATTTTTATTACATTATTAATTATAACTTTTGAAAAATTACTAATTAATTAGGATATGTGAGATTGATCAATTGTATTTTTTATTTATAATATCTTTCACCCATCAATGGCCTGATATCCCCCATCTTC